GGGGAGGCAACTCATGACCTGGGTAGGGCGTGAAGGACGAGCTGGTACTGTCCCCCTTCCCATGAAACTGCAGTTGCTCCTTCACCGCTGGTTCATACCTGGCTTTCCAAAAAGCTCTGAGGTAGCGGCCACCTTGCTGGCAGGGGGGAAAAAGGCAGAGGGGAGCAACACCCTTTCCCTCCTGGGGAGGCATGGTGCTGTAGTTTAACGCATTGTCCATTCACTTTTCTGTCACAAGCTGCCGGGTTCTGGATTAATTCCTTTTGCCTCTGGAGCCATGGCTGTGCCGGAGAGCCGCCTGTGGGGGGCAACTCGTGACCTCCAGATGGTGTGAAGGATGAGCCGGTACTGCTCCCCTTCCCATGAGACTGAAGTTGCCCCATCACCGCTGGCTCATACCTGGCTTTCCAATGAGCTCTGAGGTGGCGGCCACCTTGTGTGCAGTCCAGATGCATTTCTGCCAAAAGCCACTGGGTTTCGAGATTTGTTCCTGAGTCTCCGAGATCATGGCCATTAATGAGCTTGATCAGGAGCCAGTGATGCCATTTTTAGGCGGCGACTCAGGGTCTCGTTGGGACAGGGAGAAAAGGTTCAGCTCCATCCCCATGTGTCTCGTCACTGCAGGCCCAAACCTGACTGTCCAGTGGCCTCTGGAGGACGGTGGTCACCAGGCCTCCAGGGGGAACAGGCCAAGGCATGAAACCTATTCCCACCTGGAGTGGCCCAGTGCCAGTAACCTACTGAAGTAACAGGACGCATTTCTGCCTAAAGTCTGGGTTCCGAGATTCATTTCTGAATCTCTGGGATCATGGCCATTAAGCAGTTCAATCAGGAACCAGAGAGGCCATGCCTCCAATTATATAGCTGAACTGGAGGTGGTTTGTGGGTGTGTCTCCTGCATACCTAACTTTTGGCCATTTACTTTATTGGCAAACTTTGCCCCAAGTTTTTGGGTTCTGGCCAAAGGCACAACAGCAACTTTGGGGTATCTGAAAGTCTGACGTTGCCATCAGGCTGCTGATGCACTCACCTCACAGTTACATATTGACCTGCTGGCAGCACCATACCCCTATTGTGAATTTTTTGAAATTCAAACTTTATTCTTCACCCAACTGCTACTGACAATACTGTTATTTCTTACCTGAAAGGAACTCCCAAAATCTTGGTACATGTGGGTGAGTATCAGCACTTAATCACATAAGGTAGTACCCAAAAGTTGAGAGTTTACTTTGAAGAGAGTAGCATTGAGATACTGCTCTCCATTTCTTTGTCTTCAAAACTGAAGGCATGCTCCACTGCTGTCAAGAGTCACAGGTCTTGTCTCAGTAGAAGACTGCCATAACCTTGTAATTTAGTGACATTTAAAGCTTGACATTTTTCTTTTTTATTGAATCACAGTGAGATACAGTTACAAAGCATTCATGTTTGAGTTTCAGTCATACAATGATGGAACACCCATCCCTCCAACACTGTACTTTTTCCACCACCAATGTCCCCAGTATCCTCCCCTAACCCCCAGCCTACCCTTCTCAAAGCCTGACCTTTAAGTGGTAACTATTCAGTGGATTCTTTTGTTAGAACTGCTCTTTGGTTTTGGGACAATACCTTGCACTACTTAGGGGTTATTCCTGGCACTGTGCTCAGGAATTATTCCTGGTGGGGTTCAGGGATCAAATAGGGTCCTGGGGATCAGAACCCAGGCTGGCTAAGTGCCTAACTTGCTGTATTAGTTCTCTGTCCCCCAATTTACTGGACTCTTTAAAAAGTGGCTTTGTTTTTATTCTTGATAGATCTTTTAATATGGAAGTCATTCAGGTCTCAACTGCTGGGCCAAGAAATTGTTAATCTCATCACCCCTCTCCACAGCCCATAACTCCTCCACCATGACCCAAAGCTCCACATAGAGACCTCAATGCTGGCTCTTTCTTCAGCATTAAGTCCTTTCTGTATCAGCACCATCCAAAAGGAATGAAAAGCAGTCTGTATTTCTTAATCAGAAAAAGGATTAAAAAATATGAGGCTTAAAAATGCTCACATGGATCTATCTAGGACATTAGATGCTATCTTAGAAATAGAGCCTTGGAATAGCCTTCATTTCCTTCTTGCTAAGACTATGTAAAATAGGATGTGACACAATCTGGGATGTAGGTTACATACTATACACAGAGAAATTTTAATTTTTGGCAAAGTCATTTTTACTGCCTACCTATTTTTAGGAAAGAAACCAAGAAAAGAATTATTTTTCACAATTTTTTTCTTTCACACCTGACAAACCTATTAGACAAACAACAAGAGACAAAGCCTCCTGAACTTCTTCTCAATTTAGTTCAGCTTAATTTTAGTTACATTTCTGTTTCCCTTTTAAAAAGATCATTCTGTGATTAGAATTTCTTTTTTAATTTTCTGCCCAGGAAGCCCCTAGTCTGCTCAAAGATGCTTCTCAGGGGAAATGCTGTGGGCCCTGAGCTCCAGGAGTTTGGGTTAAGCATGTGGGGCACCCTGTCTTGATTGCTGATGTCTGGTTTCAGTATGTTATGGATGAATGCGAATGAATTTAACACAGTGGCTCAAACAGACCAGATGAATTATATTTCTTTTTTTTAATTTTTAAAATTTTATGAAGTAGTTCACAATATTTCATTACATTTAATATTCAAACACCAACACCACCACCATTTCACCTTCCCACCATCATATTTCAGATGTTTCCATCTAGAACCCCAACCCCGGCCTGAAAGCAGAACCCAAAATAATACATTTTGTATTGTTTGTTATGAAAAACCACTGAGTGATAGCACAGTGGTAGGGCATTTGCCTTGTGCGCAGCCAGCCCGGCCGAGCCGGGTTCAATTCTTCCGCCCCTCTGGGAGAGCCTGGCAAGCTACCAAGAGTATCTATCTCGCCCACACAGCAAAGCCTGGCAAGCTACCCGTGATGTATTCAATATGCCAAACACAGTAACAAGTCTCAAAATGGAGACATTACTGGGCCTGCTCGAGCAAATCAATGAACAACGGGAGGACAGTGCTACAGTGCTACAGAGAAGAGTGTGAAGATTTTGTTTTACCCAGGGGCCATTAAGCCCTTCTATAAGAGATCACTAACATGTTGTTAAAGGTTGAGCCTTGCGTGCGTGTAGCTGTGCTTATATCTGTGCAATATATATATTATATATATATATATATCTTTGGGTGTGGTCTATTTCCTATCTTGCCTGTCCCAAGAATGAGAATGACTAAGGTCACAATAGGTGACACTGGCTGTGCTGTAGCTTCTCCATGGGACTGATCACAATGGCTGAACCTCTCCCTGGCCTCTGCCCATGGGCAACTGGGCTTCTCTGCCATTGGTTGCTGACTGTTCTTGTGATTACGATTTAAACAAGTGCTTGAGGTGAGTTCACTGCTCCAAGGTGGTCCAGAGATTCGCCTGCTGCTTTGCAGATCTGAAGTTTTGTAAAAAGGTATTTATTATATTTCATTAGAAGAGACGCAGACAGTTCTGAATTTGGCAAGTATATTCTTGTTTTCCAAAAGATGCATCTTCCGGAAAACTGTGGTATGATACTTTGCTTTCATTTGACATTAACTTATAATAAAATAACTTTCTTTTAGAAGTTCCAAAAGTTGATCTTGCCTGCTTCCTTCTTTTCAGAGAGAAAAAAAATCACTCAGTACTTTCCTCCCTCACTGGAATATTTCTACTTTAAGCCAGGTAAAGGTAAAGGCCCTCCCATTGTTCGTCTATTAGCTCGAGTGGGCCCAGTAACGTCTCCATTGGAGACTGTTGTTACTGTGTTTGGCATATCGAATACGTCACGGGGAGCTTGCCAGGCTCTGCCATGCAGGCGAGACCAAGGCCTCTTAAACTTTTACCACTCATTACCCCTTTACGGGCAGGAGTGATAGAACAGTGGGTAGGGCGTTCGCCTTGCACACAGTCGACCTGGGTTCGATTCCTCTGCCCCTCTTGGAGAGACTGGCTAGCTACCGAGAGTATCTCGCCTGCACAGCAAAGCCTGGCAAGCTACCCATGACATATTTGATATGACAAAAGCAGTAAAAACAAGTCTCATAATTTGTGTGAGACGTTACTAATACCTGCTCAAGCAAATCGATGAACAACAGGAGGACAATGCTACAGTGTAGTGCTACCCCTAAGAAGATTTTACATGAACCAGGGTACATAAAATAGGTGTACTAACCAAACATTTACAAATAATAAATTGTAAGTGTATTTTAAAACAAGTTTTCTGTGATCTACCACATTCAGTTATGTGACAGCGTAAGAAGTTATGCTTTAAGCAAACAAACCAAAAGCAGCCTGCAAGATGCACCTGAGGCTACCCCCCACCACAAACACATTATTCTAGCCTCCCCCTCAAAAAAGAGTGCTGTAACACACTTTGGGAAATAAATGATTAAATCAACCTGTGTTAAAATATTCAGACTCTTTATTTTAGCATGGAGGAACACAAGAAATATCCAATATATAAAGAACATGTCCATTTTCTCAGAGCTTCAGGATAGTGTTTTGTCTTATCTGTGCATTGCTCTCCTGCCCCCTTCCCATCCTGTACCACACAATACAGGAGAAAATAATGTCGGTGCCTGGGCAACCTGTACTTCTATATCTGTTTATATTTTTAAGCATGGAAGAAAACAAAAGACTGGTTGAAATATTATACTTTATTTCATCCTCTGAACATCATATTCTTCTAATGATATTAGCACTGAAATTATCTCCTGAAAGACCTTCTTTTCTTTCCATTTTTGAGTCCTCCCTCCTAAATTTCCTCCTTCATCTAGGGCCATCAAGAAGTTATCAGCTTCCAGGTTAGTTTGCTTCTTGGTGAGTAAAATTCTCTATATACAGAATAGATGAGCTTTAAACAAGTTCTGGTTTGTTATATCAGAAGGCAATGGGGACCACAAGGAGATCTAGTCCACCCACAGTCTGACCGAAAGAAATGATGTAAAATAAAGGACTGGAGCCATTGATTCTGTCTTCAGCAATATTTATTGGAAACAGCAATGCTTCCCGTGGTAAGAGTTTATACATTAAGCAGTAAGATTTGCCTTTCACTCCACATGATCCACTACTGCAGGTGGCACATCCGAAGCAGCACATTAAACCTCTGAAAGAATCTGTACAGCTAGATAAATAGAACTCTGGATACCTTACAGAACTTTATTGACTGATACAAAAAAAAGAACAAAAGAAACACTCATAAGCTTACTCACAATACTACACACACAAAATGAAGATGAGATAGAAGGGAAGAAATAAAAGGAATGACTGATTTGGGAACGGGTTTTGCATATGCAGCCACACACATCTTAAACTTCTAAGCACAAAATCATCTTTATTTGGTCCTCATTGAGGGCAGAATATGCACAAACGATGTTCAAAGAACACAAGGGGAACATGGAGAGGAAAGATATTTACTATTTCTACATCTATGAACTAGTGAGAAAAATGGTTTCTAGTGTTTTTCTTTTTGTTTCTTGTACTCATGAAACATGTACTGCATAAATAAAAGTGAATATATTTGTTCCCCCTATAACCTTCAGCAATGGCCTAAATACAAATGTTTCTGTACAGCAAGTTACAGAATCTTTTAACTCTCTTCTTAATTCCTCATACGAGGGATTCTACACCTTTTATGCCCTCTTACAGTATGCTGATTGCTGTCTTACTTAGAAATAAAACAGGAATCGCTCTCTGGTGTTAATAGCAGAGAGGGAAAAAAGCTGGCTGTACCTCAGAAATAGGCATATATGGGGTGGGGGGAACAAAGGTGACAGTTTCAGAGAAGGTTTCTTTACCCACACTCAACACTTTTCTACTGAGAGCATCACTAATGCATTCAGACAGAAGAAGGTTGCTGGTGAGGGAGACTTTCTTCAATAGTTCTATATACTCACTATAGAGGGGGGAATGTGAAAGCAACAACTTTCTCCTACTAAATGGAGAACCTGAGACCTTGAGATGGCCTGTGGGTGATAGATAATATCTTCGGTGGGATGTTTTTATTTGTTTTGTTTTGTTTTCTGTGACTTGGCTTGCGGCTGTATTCTAAAAACCCACAGCCTCCTGAGAACTGTGTAAACAGCACTAATGGCTGATCTCAGATGGTATTTAAAAAGCACATGCCATGCCTATCAGGCTAAGAAGATACCATCCATCACCATGATGCTTGTGGACTCGCACAAGTTAACCAAAGATACTCAGTGGGGCTTGATGACTTAGACCACTGCACCTGCACTTGGGATGTGTTTTAAGCAGCATTACCAAAGCAGTGGTTAAACTTAACTATCTGGGTCGAGAGGAGGTGAGCCAGCCAACGTAACATCTTAATGGGGCAGAGCAACTAGAATTTCCACGTAATTGATCGGGAAGAAGCCTGACTGGCCATGAAGCATACCCTCATACCAGTTCTCATCAATCTGGTTAGTGAGTGTGATGATATCACCCTCTTTAAAACCCAACTCCCCTTCATTTTCAGGTTCAAAGTCATACAGAGCTCGGCAGCAGGGCTGGTCCATTTGGGCACCTGAGGAGTAAGAGAGAGAAAGAAAAACACAGAAAGACAAAGGGAATTTAACTCATGTTTCGGTTCACTGCTCCCACCTGGTCTGCTGTCCCCTTTGTGGCCTCCCGCCCTCCACTCTCTTGCAGAGCATCCTGCAGTAGCTAGACTCCAATGGTTGCTGTGTGGTAGCTGCCCTCTTTCAGTCTTCCGGAAATCTCCTATGAAATCTTCCACACCTCATGCAATCAATCCTGTTTCCATTTCCAGTATGAAAATAACTGTATGGTACATACAACCAACTTCATCAAGGTTTACTTTCATGATGATGTCCAAATGTGAGAGAGAAAATGACTCAGGAGTTTATAATTAGCTTTAGGTTGTTAATATGACCTAGCCAGAATTCTTTCCAAATTTTCATGTCCAAAACTTTCCACATGTACAATAGCAGTTACTTGATGGACAATGCTTTGTTTCCTCAGAATAACAGCAAAGTTTGCTTTCCAAAAATAATGTCTTGGCTGGAGAGTTAGTCAGAGAGTTAGTGATGCACTTGCCTTGCACTCTGCTGACCTGGGTTCAAACCCTGGTACCACTCATGGTCCCCTGATCACAGCCCGGAGTGATCCCTGAGTGCAGAGCCAGGAGTAAGTCCTGAGCATGCTGGATGTAGCCCTCAAACTAACAATAATAATGATGATGATGATGACTCCAGTTTCAGGAAAACTAATATAATATACTGGAAATAAAACATTATAAAACACTGACTTTAAATTCTTATTTAGTATAAACTGGGCAATACACTTCACTCTGTTATTTTGTCTACAACTGGTACCAAAAAAGAAATTCACTGTACATTCTGGTTATTAAATAAGGTTATGTAAAAAATAAGGAATTATACTTTTAAACAATTACATGTGTATCTGGAGGCCACTGACACTGTGGCAAATGAAAAGTAATATACAATAACTTGAATGAACTATGAATTGAATTGTTTTAAAAGGCATTTGTTTTAAAAGACCACATAAATGTGGTCAAATAAAGTTCACATATCCTTATGTGATCAAACTCAAGAAAGTACATACAGCTTCTAGGAAATCCAGATGGCTCTGAAGGGAAACACTCTAATTATTTTTTAATTAGAGAAAGCAGCAAATTAAAAAGTCTCTGAAAGAGAGGTGAAATATTTTGTTGGTTTCTGGGCAAGAGAAAAACAGTACTTCTGTGAACAATCCTTCCAGCCAGTAAATTTCTATAGCCACTAGCTTCCAGGATACTCTGGGGTTCTGAGTCGAAGAGGGCTGGAAGGGCAGAGAGGCCACCACCTACAAACCTCACTTTCCCTCTGCAGATTCTGTAGGGTCTCTCGTAAAATGTTGCCTAGTACAATATATCAAATACTAGGGATACAGGGAAAATAGGAGAAAGGTGCTTATTTTAAAATTCCACACCCTCATAAGATGTTTCTCTGCTTCAATCAGGAAAACAATAGAAATGCATTAAACACGGGTTTATATCAAATTTAGGGGTTGGAGTGGGTAGAGGATGGAGATTGCTGAAGAAATACATCATTGATGTATATCCATGTTCCTGATTGAAAAAACAAAAACTGAGCATTTCAGCATTTATTGTACCAACCTGAGTTTCCACAGCATAAGGAACTGGTTGGAGATTGGGGATTAAAAAAAACTGGCAGATACTGAGATTCAAAATGTAATCATTGGCAAACACATCATCATATGCTCAGTGACTCAAGAAATTCAGCTCAACAAGCAGCTCAATGTTATTATCTATGGGTTATGCTTGAGTTTATGTGGGAGTGTAATAACCAGGGGCATTCAGCCTCATGCAAGCTGGAATCACAGAGGGGTGAAAATAAAAAACAAAACTCACTCCCCCAGCAACAAACTAACATGTAAAGATCAAGATCAAGTGTTAGGAAGCTTGTATGTTTGCTGATGATGGAGCAGAGAATGAAAGGGGCAGAGGAGGAAAGAGGGAACAAGAGACAAAAAAATGAATAGAAAAAAGATTTCTTTCAAAGTTTCTACCTTTGAACTGTTAGTATGATTTTTGTAAATATGTCATCAGGAAGCATTCAAGCATTGTGTAATGGGGTCCTGCGGGTCTTCAGTCTTACCTGTCGGTTTGGGGGTGCCCGTGTGGGAGAGGCCTCCATTGGGCTGAGTACTCTCTCCTGTTGGAAACTCCAGGCTCATTCGTGGTTTAGGCTGATATTCTCTTCTAGGCTGAGAAGAAGCATGCCTTATTCTGTGTTTAAAAAAAAGGGAGCTAGGAATGAATATGTAGGCAGCTTAAAAGCAATAAGAAAAGAAATCAATATCCAAAAAACACTCGGGTCACTACCAATTCACTATTATCGAACAGGGGAGATAAAAAAATTATCATTTTAATATCTGTCTTGTTCTGTATCTTTCTTTTCCTGCTTTCAACAGTGTCTTCAATGATTAGGATGTCAATCCCCCCCTTTCTTTCTCATTTATTCAGAGCTCACTTTCAAGCTCACTTTTAAGTGCCATATTATGCCATGAACACAAAGTTGAACAGATACCATTTTTACAATGAATGCTGCTATGCAGACATGTATAAAATGCTATAGCAACAAGGGGTCAGTATGCATTACACTACCAATTCCTGAAGAAGAAATTTAGGCAAGAATGTAGAAGAGGTAGAAGTTACTTCATCCTAGATGGATAAAGTTGGTTCCAGAAGAGTTATTTCTTGTAAAGGTTAGGAGATTTAGAGGCAAGAATGAAGGCAGTACTATATGCTCTAAGGACAGTGAGCATTTACAGATCTAGAAAAGAGAGACTACATGCAAAAAATAAAAGAAAGATATAAAGATGGCCAATAAAGGCAGACTGAAAATCCCCATGTGTTTTCCATAGTTTCAGGTGCTCATTAAACACAGAATACAGATATGCAAGAATGAAAGGGTTGGGAGTATGGTGGCAGAAAAACAATGAGTAAACTGATCTTAGAAGCAAAACATTCGGCTGTTTACTTTCAATAGATGTCACAAAGATATACTATTCACTTAAAATGTTCAAGAAAGTGTTTTAAAGATATTTCTAGAGGCTTCAAGAGTGTTAGGAACATTTAAATTTTTTCTTTCCAATTTTTATTTAAGCTCTATAATTTCCAATACCGTTAATATGACTTTCAGACATAAACAGTTCCAACTCCATACTGACCAGCACTGTTAGTGTCCCTCCACCAAAGGTAACAGGGCGCACTGAGAGAAGAGTCACAATCAAACCACTAATCAAAGAGATATTGAGGATAACTGAAGCAGGGATAAGTTTCCCACAGTGCAAAAAAATAATTGCTGATTGTATTTTATACCATACCCAGAGGTGGTCAGTGCTTACACCTGGTTCTGTGTTAAGAGATCACCTCTGACAGTGCTTGAGGGAACATACACAGTGCCAAAGGGAAAACTGAGTCATCTGCACATGTAAGGTAAGAAACCAAACACTATAATATCTCTTCTAACCCTTAGAGGCTGGTTTTGTTGTTATTGTTGTTTTGGGGCTACACCCAATGGCACTCAGGGCTTATTCCTGGTCTGTGCTCAAGGATCATTTCTTGTAAAGCTTTGGAGACAATATGCAGTGTCAGGGATTGAACCCAATTGGTAGTGAGTGCATACAGCAAGCTGCCCTACTTGCTATTTGATTAATTCAGTCATTCAACAGCTTTGAGAGTCGTATCTGACCATAAGCTGAGAATAAGAGGGTGCAGAAGCAATCCTTTGTAACAGTGGAAGCCATCACATAAACTGTATATGTTGTCTCCCCACAATTCCTGTTTGTTCATCTCCCTCAGCTGCTAATCTTTGAGGTGACACTAATAATATTTACTTATGGGCTGTAGCAAGATAATATCTTTCAGTACCCACACAGACTATCTACCCAGAAATTTATATCACATTAACAGCACCCTGGTCTTATGCCTGTGGCACACAAAATGTAATCAAAGTTTTGACCACTCACACATATACAAAATCGTATTTAACGAAGAAAAGTAAAACAAAGCACAAGACAGAATCAATGGTGCACAAAAGGGCTGTGTAGGATCAACAGGAATTCTGGCAGAAATGTTTCCTCAGGGACTAGAGCAATAGCACAGTGGGTAGGGTGTTTGCCTTGCATGCGGCTGACCCAGGTTCAATTCCCAGTATCCCATATGGCCCCCTGAGCACCACAAGGGGTGATTCCTGAGTGTAGAACCAGGAGTAACCCCTGTGCATTAACGGGTGTGACCCAAAAATAAAAAAAATAAGTGTTTCCTCAAATATTCTATTATCTCCATTTACATACATCATTTTATATATAAAGAATAAGAAATGTGAAATGCTGGGTCCTGTAAATACCTCTCTTCCAGTCTGACTGTGACTTGCTGCAGGATCTGGACAGCTTGCTTGTGATATTCCAGCTGTGCTTGCACCAGTGCAGAGAGCTGACTCACCTGTTCGATCTGCAGATGGATGAGGAATCCCAATTTGTTAGCTGTTACTAATAACTAAGTCTGGTATGGATGGTGGAGTTGCTCCTGACATAGAACCCATTGCTGGATATGCCCATAAAATGTGTGGTAAAGCCAGTAACTTTCCATGATTAAGGTTAAGAAATTATGTTTGGAAACTCCAATGCCATGAGAAGAAGTAATTCGTCAAAGTCCTCATGGAGATCATGTGATTCTCATTAAATAGTCCTCTGCTTAGCTACAAACTTCTAATTATGATTGGTTGACTTAGTGATTACGTACAAGATGAAAGATGTACTTGACCAACTCCATACATCTTTTCAGTATAGGGAAAGATATAGAGGCTCTTGTTCCTTCTACTTTCCATGCTAGCTCAATAGTAATGCTATGAACCAGAATGCGAACACTTATTTCTCATATAACATACAATGGAGGCAATGTGGTGTGATGGGAAATAATTTGTCTCCTCTGAGTCTCATCTGTGTTGTAAAGATGCTGTTGTCAGGTGAAATTTGGGTTTCCTCCAGCTTTAGAATCATTATTCTTGATTACTCTTCATTTTGTGTGTCATACTGTGATCTGGTCAGATAATGGCCTCCATGTCCACAGGAGGTCTACTGTCCCACATTTTTGTGGTGAGGAGGGGCTATATAGAAAATGCACCATTACTGAGGCTACTCCTTATGCTAATCATATTCCTCTTTATTGGCTAGCAGACAAGTGATTTTATATAAATGCAAACCTACACCTATTGTGGGTGGTAGGAAGCTTTGAATATATTCAATATTAGCCCTCTGCCACCAGTCAGGGAAAGGTAATTAATAACTACATTACTATATTAATACTATATATTTACATATATATAAACATATATATGGAAAATTGGGAAGTAATTAATGAGGCTGAATGTAAGAATGAGCAAGAACAGAAAAGGTAGTTAACTTTTTTGAAATAAGTGGTAGAAGAAAATATTGTCCTCATGAAGCTACTGAAACACAATAAAACATAACTCCAAAGTCAGTGAGTAATGATTTAGTACTCTGGAAATGTGAAAGCAGCTTTTAAACATCCTTAGTTATGTCCCAAGTACAGTATCTATACTATAATAATCTCAATTAAAATCACTTTTTGAAAGAAAACATCCAACGGAAAATACAGAGCAATGTAATCACTGAATTCTGAAAGCATTTCAGTTCTATTCTTTTACAATCTGAAGTCATTCTTCTCAATATTTCAAGAGAGAATTTTTTAAGTATTGGACTCAGACATAGATCATCAGAAGTAGCCTTTATCTTCCAAATACTGGCTACATTTTAACAATATCAGTAGATGAAAAACTTGTTAAATGAAAGCACAGGGGTATGTAAAATACCATTTTCAATGTATTTTATAATTTGTACTTATTTGAAACAATAAGCTGATTTTTCTCACAACATAATGTAGTCAGCTGTTAATGTTTTAATTGCCTCACCCCCTCAGTACAGTGACACTGCACTTAATTCAATAGCAAAATTAAATTGAAAGTTACAGAAAAGTCACTTACATCCATTTCCAAGAGATTGAACATGCTTGACTCAGCAATTTCTTTAGATTCATCAAATTTCTCCAGTGCCTGACGAAGCTCTTCATCTGGAATCTTGCCTTGTCGTTTCTTCTTATAATCAAAGTCAAGACGTCGCCCCTCCAACTTCTTTAGATGATGCTGAAAAAAATCAAGGGGAAGGATAAGCTCTGAACAAACTTATGGAAAAGGCCAATTTACAGCTCATTTCCCTATCATGCTAATTTTCTTCTAAGAGTGAGACAGGCTAAGTTCTAAAATAAGATGTCCCCAGAAAAATAAAGACACTTCAGTGAAGTCAAAATTCCCAAAGGCAAAGTGTGGGAAAATATCTTTCAAAGTAACTAAGAACTAGAAGGAAATTGTGGGAAGTACTTGTGTAGTGCCCTTTACATTCTGCCCTTGCTGGGCCTAAGCCAAGTTGGAATACGCCTTTAGGATCCATGAAAGAAGCTATGATTGTGTGTCTATAATCTACACATGCACAAAGCACAGGCATGTAAGAAGGTCTGTAAGTTCCCATGTTCTAAAGAAATGCTACTTCACAAGGACAGGAATATATAGTTCTTAAAATAATTAGAAAAATAACAGAATTGTTGCTTTTAAGTCATAGAATTATTTGAGAAAGAATGGGCTTATCTTTGAGTTAATCCAGGTGCTAGAAAAATCTTACCTGCTTATTAAATAAGCAAATAAGACCGGCTTATTAAAAACCAAATAACCTAAATTAGATTATACCTAGCAATGTATACATTAGCACTTATCCTAGTTGACCAATATAGTTTTGAATGGGAAACACAATTTAAGTTTCATATTTGACACATGATAATTCTCTGTCAGAGAATCTAGACGTCTTTAGATCTAATGACAACACAATTCTTTAATTCCCCCTTGCATTGCCCCCAGTACATGGTTGCCCAGTCTCTGCCCATCACCTCCAGTCATCGTGCAGGATAATATTTCTCAAATATAGGAAGATTCCTAAGAGCTGTGGTGTACTATAACTAATACATGAAAGAAAATTCTGGATTACCCTTTATACTGAGGCTATATCAAATTAAACAGGAAAAAAAGTTGGACCAGAGAAGAAAAGAAAAATAGAATGAATATTCTAGGCCCTAGCTCCACACACCCGCCTTCGACCAAAAATCCTAACTCAAACTAAATGTTTGTTTCTTTGGAAGAAATAAAGCATTGAACTGACAATCAGCTCCATAAAATAGAATGCTGAGGTGCGAGCAGCATTTTAGACTTAAAGAGAGAGTCTCTTGTTCTAATGATGTGAATATGTGAGGGTGGTAGGGCTGAAATAGAATTCCTCAAGAATTTTGGTGACTTCAATTATAGCAATCAATTTTATATTTAAGAAAGTTAAATTTCTGAGCTCCCATTTGACCCAGCAATACCACTCCTGGGAATATATCCCAGAGAGGCAAAAATGTATAGTCGAAGTGACATCTGCACTTGTTTGTTCATTGCAGCCCTCTTTACAATAGCCAGAAACTGGAAGAAACCTGAATGCCCAAGAACAGATGACTGGTTAAAGAAACTTTGGTACATCTACACAATGGAGTACTATGTAGCTCTTAGAAAAGATGAAGTCATGAAATTTACATACAAGTGGTACAATATGGAAAGTATCATGCTAAGCGAAATGAGTCAGAAAGAGAGGGATAGACATAGAAAGATTGCATTCATCTGGGGGATATAAAGTAACAAAGTATGAGATTAATACCCAAGAATAGCTGAGATCAGCACCAGGAGGATTACTCCATAACTTAGAGGCCAGCCGGGTATCCTAGAGGAAAGGGCTATTCAGATAGAGAAGGGAGCACCAAATAAAGGATGTTTGGAGGATCCTCCCAGGAGGGGAGATGCATGTCGAAAGTAGACTATGGACTGAACATGTTTGCCACTCAATGCCTCTTTTGCAGACCACAACATCCAAAAGGAGAGAGAGAACACAGGGGATTGCCCTGCCACAGAGACGGGGGGGATGGGGGGATGGGGGTGGGAGGGATATTATCCATGGTGGTGGAAAATGGGCACTGGTGGAGGGATGGGTATCTGATCATTGTATAATTGAAACCAAAGCACAAAAAATTGTAAATCTACAACTTTAAAAAAAATAAAATAAAATAAAGGGAAAAAAAAAAAAAAAAAAAAAGGTCTGTTTCAGAACAGAACCTCTTTGCAGGGCAATGAATTTAGAAGAGTTTGTAAAATGTATTATGGTTATGCCCAAATTTGATTGACTCGCAATAAAGTTAATTACATCTTTCATCCAAAAAAAAAAAAAAAAAAAAAAAAAAAAAGAAAGTTAAATTTCATCTAGGTTCAATAAATGTTTGTTGAAAGAACAGAATAAGAAACATTACAAACTTTGTTAGAGGTAAAGTTAGTTTGAAATTTATTAGAAATAGTTTAATTGTTCTACAAGTTTTAGAGAGAGAAAAAAGTTGGGTATTTTCCCTCTTCCTAAATACCAGTATGAAAATAAAAACTATGTTAATAGAGTGCCAAAACTACAACGAAGCTGGTATAGCTAGCATTTTAGGCAATGAAATCGGCCCAGAGCACTCCCACCCGCCCAAAACACCACAGAATTATTAACAGTCAGAAAAAGGCTATTATCCTTGTGGATAAAACTTTAATGTGAAAAGAAAATGTAGTATTTCAATGAATAAAGATATATATTAATGATGCTTCTGAGTTTTGCAGTATATCATAGCACTAATTACAAAAGCTAGGATATGGAAAAAATCAAATGTCCAATGACTGAATTTATAAAAAAGTAGTATATATACTTGAGAGAATACAGACTAGCTATAAGAAAATCATGCAAAATCATGCAATAAGATGCAGCTTGAATGGAGCTAGAGAGTATCATGGTTAGCTCAGACAGAGGGAGGGAAAACAAATAATGGATTATGTCACTCATCTATGGTACACAGATAAATAAGACAAAGGAATTAGAAGTATCAAATGGTGTCAAACCCTTGGCTCTAGGTAACAAAACTGAGAATGCTGAGAAAGGGGACAATGTCAAGGAAAGGTATAAAATGTAACACAGGACATAAGTGAAGGTTCCTGGGAACTTCGGTGGGGATATAGGACAAGGTGAAACCAAAACCTTGTATTAACACTGTTGTAAACATGAGACCCAAAATATAATCATTTTTTAAAGAAAGTTTTCCAAGAGAAAAGGGTATGGGGGGGGACCCTTGAGATGCTGGTGGAGACACAGAACCTTGTGGAAGGTGTAGAGTAGGAACTGGCGTGCCTGAAACTTTATTACTGACAGATCATAATGCCTAAATAATAATGGAGAAACAAAACCTATTGTAGCAAAGATAAATCTAGTATTCATTAAAAATGCAATACTCACAGTCATGAGTAAGGAAAAAAATTAATACTGGATGATCTCAATTTTTTATTTTAATTTCCATTAGTGAGACACCATCAGGTACAGCCGTAGACCTACAAATTCTTGTGCTTGGGTTTCAACCATACAATGATCAAATACCCATCCCTCAACCAGTGCCCATTTCCCACCACCACAGATCCCAGTATCCCTCCCACCCCCCATCGCCCAATCCCACCCTGCCTCTGTGGCAGGGCATTCCCTTTTGTTCTCTCTCTCTTATTGGGTGTTGTGATTTGCAAAAGAGCCAATGGGTGACAATCATGTTTGGTCTATATTCTACTTTCAGCATGCTTCTCCCGTCCTGGGAGGATCCTCCTAACACCCTTTATTTGGTGCTCCCTTCTCTATCTGAGCTGCCTTTTCCCCTAGCATCTGTGGCTGGCCTCCAAGCCATGGAGTAAAATTCCTGATACTAATCTTGGCCATACTTGGGTGTTAGTCTCCTATTTTGTTACTTTAAGTTCCCCAGATGAATGCAATCTTTCTATGTCTATCCCTTTCTTTCTGAGTCATTTCGCTTAACATGATACTTTCCATGTATCCACTTGTATGTAAATTTCATGACTTCCTCTTTTCCAACAGCTACATAGTACTCCATTGTGTAAATGCACCAAAGTTTCTTCAACCAGTCTGGATGATCTCAATTTTGGATGATCTCAAAAGTATTGCATTTCTTGTTTCTACCTGTTTATCTTTTTGGATTATTCAGAAATTCACATACTTACTGCTAACAAGCACAGATGCTTAACAAAAGTTTCTAAAGGAAAAAGGGTAACTTCATCAATACAAACTAAACTTCTCCCTTCCCAAGGTACTAACTGAAAATACCTGAATTTCCCTTAGATCTTTGTCGTGAAGATTTTGAAGTGGGTCAATAAAGTTCTGCTTTACTTCCATGTCCAAAGAGTCTTTTACTTCTGAGAGTTCCCTCATGGCCTCCCCAACATCACCAAGAGCAGGGCCTGGAAGGGAAGAATGAAGCCCACATACCATGTATAGGTGAAACACATTTGCAATATTTAGTCCATCACAGACCCAAACTGAAGAATTACCATATGCTTTTTGAAGACAACCAAGAAGAAAAAGGCTATAATGCCTGCCAAATAACTATTTTCCACCTAAGATAGGCCAAACCTGGCAAGAATCTCATTTCTCTCAAGTGGACAGTATCCTTCATTATAAAAAAAAAACAAATAAAAAACTAAAAACATAATCTGCGGGGCCAAAGAGACAGTATGGCAGGTAAGGCACTTGCTTTGTATACAGCTGACCCAGGTTCAATCTCTGGCACCACACATACTCCCCCAAGCACTGCAGGAGAGTTCCCTGAGCAGAGAGCCAGGTGTAAGCCCTAAGTGACACTGGGTATGCCCCCAAAACAAAACTGCAACAAGAAAAATTGCTTCTCCTACAAAAGGCACCACTTTTTTCCTGTTCAAAGCCACTGCATTTAGCAGAAGCAAAACCAAACAACAGAGAGCAGTGTTCTATCAGAAAGGTCAGTCATTTGCTGAGATATCCCCTTACAACAGAGGGAATAAAATCACTTGGTGTGGTAAAACTAAATATTAGGGGAGAGACAGGTACAGTACAAATTATTACTCACCTGGAATAACATAATATAATTCCATACACAAAAGAGCAAAAAAACAAATAAAGATTATGGGGATATCGTTAAATCAAGCTGGTTATATTTGCACTGTCTAAAAACTAAGTTACTGCCAGGTAAACCCACTAGGAAATGTCCAAGAATCTGGATATTTCACCCAAATCCTGCAGAGACTGAGATGTCATCAGAGTAAAAAGACAAAGGGAAAAAAAAGTTTGCAACAAGTAACAAAATGGCACGTAAAACAATGAAAGGAATGAAAACAAAGTTTGAGTCAATATACAAGTTAAACCTGAAACAGAATCAAAATATAAAATGATTTGAATAACTTTCTACAGAGCTTCTTCCTAGAACGGAAATCCCATTGGATCAGTGAAAGAGGAAAATACAAAAAGTACACATTACCAAAGTTGCAATCATCTCCCAGCTCTCTTCCGAATTTAAGCATGGCCTCTGCAAGTAATGCTTCTGCCTGAGGATAGCCTGGTCCTTTCTCCTGGCCACGAATTTTGGACATGGTGTTGATCATGCTGAGTTTAGCTCTGGAAGCTGAAGACAAAGAGGAAACCTGATTGGAAAGTTAGACATGTGCAACAGCAGAAATCTTGGAAAATTAGGCCTTACGTACTTGATAAACCGATTACTTGACAACTACATGCCTAGCTTCATTGTTTTTATCAATAAAATATGGCTGTTGGCATACATGGAGACATGGAATATATTTAATTTATTTGCAGTGTTGAAGGTTGACCCCAGGGCTTCATAAAAGCAAGGCAAGGCAAGTGCTTCACAGCAAAACTAAATTCTCAGACTGAGACAATTTTTAAATCATGATGAAACTCACCTTTTTTTTTTTTATCTCAAAACCTTAAGATATACAAAACAGAAAAGGCAAATCTATCCCAAGTGAATATTCTCATCTCCCTATGTTCTTTCTGTCCTTTCTTTATAATCCATTCTCCCTGCCATTATTTTCTAGAAGCCAGGTGGCCCTGCAGTAATCATTTTGAAAGTTGTGATGTCTACATTTTGGGATTCTACGATAGCACTGCGGGTAGGGTGTTTCCCTTGCATGTGGCCGACCAGGGCTTGATTCCTCTGCCCAGAGAGCCCAGCAAGCTACTGAGAGTATCCCTCACGGCAAAGCCTAGCAAGCTACTCGTGATGTATTCAATATGCCAAAAGCAATAACAAGTCTCACAATGGAGACATTACCAGTGCCCACTTGAGTAAATCAATAAACAACGGGAGGACAGTTGCTACAGTGCAGTCCTACATTATATTGCATTTCTAGAAACCCATGAGTTAAAGCAGAAAATTATTCATTCTTGCACTGTGGACTCCATGCCATTTTTAGTTATATGTATAAAATATAACTATTTTCAAAATCACTCCTTACTAAAATTTAGATGGTAAATAGAATACTGTGCTCATTTAAAAGACTTAATTTATTTTCAAGCACATAACTGCATCTGAAAAAAAGTATTTTGTGCCACAAAGAAAGTATTTTAGTATATTTTGCCCATATTTATATCAAAATGTTCTTAGAAAATAAGAGTTTTTATGGAAGAAAGAGTTTTAAGAACACCAAAAAAAAAATTATTCATCTGATTCTTAATACCAGGCAGGTTTTCTCATTTTATCAGAGTTGGGACTGTAAATTGAAGTAAGACTGTGCCCCGAACCCATCTGCATAGAAACCCAATAAAAGCATAGTTAATGAATGAATCGATTTCCAGTATTTCAGTAATTGGTAGTGAATACTGAACATTTATTTAAAATAGGCTTTCATTTAAACATTGATTTCAAGGTTAAAACTGTAGCCAAGGAGAATTTTTGCAAGATGATTCCTCCTAGCCTCAGGATATCACAGTGAATAAGTTAGTCATGGTCCAAGGCTTTACAATTTACAGTAGATTGGAGCATTTTTCAAATTGTAAAGTGAAAATCAGACTTAAGTGTATGTATTACAAGTTAGTACATACAAGGCAAATACCCTTCCTGCTCCTGCCGCTAACAATGTGTTTTTTAATGAAAGCTGGTTATTGATTTGTGCATATATCTTTATTCTGTTTAAAAGTTTGTTTTCTTTTAAGTAATTACAAGAAGTAATTGTAACAGTTTAACATACTCTGGTTGAATTTCAAATTCATCATTTTGAATATTCAATTACTAAGAGTCTTAGTCTTCTAATTATTTAAGAACATCTTGAATATGTTCTACATTTTCATCAGAAAGGGAATAAACATTCTTTAATTTTGTATATTCTTTCAAATCAGTCAAAACAGTAGTTAACCACATACTTGATCTAATTTTTTAATTATAAACGTACTAAACATTTATATAATGTCTCTCTTTGGTTTCTGGGTAACATCTGGCAGTGCTCAGGGCTTATTCCTGGTGGCTCTGAAATCAGGGTCATGCCCTGGCAGGCCTCAAAGAATCATATGTGGTGCCCTGGTACCAAGGCCAGTCAGCTGCATGCAAGGCAAGGGCCCTGCTCACTATACTACTTCTCCAGCCCCAATAACCTCAATGAGTAAAACGTTTGTGTTCTTAAAAAATACCATCAAACTTCTGAATTAACCATCCTTAAATTTTAATATTATTTTAAAATGATCTTTAAAAGATATAGTTAAAGAACACAGTAACCTGAAAAATATAAATTTAAGACATCAAATTCCTATAATTGAGTCTCAGTCTGGATTGTCTCACCATTAATGATTTCACCACTAATGCCTGCCCCTTATAATTCTGCCTTCCCCTCCTTACAACTGCCCTCTTCTTCTCTTCTTAAGGGAAATACCTACTTTTATTCCTCACTTTTTGTAAAAAGTGAGAAACCTTATTCTGTAGTATGAATTATTACAATCGCTCTAATTACCCCTTCCATCTTTATATTTCCATCTTCATTATGTAGTTTAAATTGTCCTCACGGGATTTACTGAAGAAACCACCCCAACTCAGGGAAGATGCTATGAGCAATCTCTCCCCCGATCCATAAGAATAGGACCTGGGATACTGACCCATGTATCTCTCAGAGTATCTCTAAGCATATCTTAGAAGAAAGCAGTGTGCAGAGAACACATTTACTCAGGTGGTGTCCTAATTAATGAAGGGTCTGGAAGATTATTCTTTGGAAAATATAAGCAGTTAAATAGAAGAGGGTAAAGACATTCACAGCTGGAAGCATCCAATGTAATGATCATAGAATAATCACGTTAGAATGATACTACTAGAGTTAGAGCCCCATCAACCACCAAATGGTTTTGCTTATACTATATTTGAAAAGGTCAATTACTAATACCAAATCTTGCAAAAAGCCTCTATTACAACAGAGACTAAAACCATCAAATATATAAATTAGAGAAAACAACTCCGATAGGAAAAATAGCTATCATTAATATTCTCACATTCTCACATATCTAATACATTATACAATAAAATAGAGAAAAACACTTAGAAATTGTCCTGTTTTACTTTTTTTAGGTTACATATTTTACTTGTGTCACAAGACTTTAAAGAAAATTTACTCTATACTGACTTCTTTTTTTCTTTTTTTAAATGTTAATTTTTTATTTTATTGAATTGCCATGAGACAGAGCATTATAAAGCTGTTCAGGATTGGGTTTCAGTCATACAATGTTCTAACACTCAACCCTTCACCAGTGTAATTTCCCAGGACCAGTGTCCTCAGCTCAGTTTCCCTCTCACTCTCCAAACAATGTATCCCCATGCATCTCTCTCTCTCTCTCTCTCTCTCTCTCTCTCTCTCTCTCTCTTTCTCTCACATTATATCTTTCTCTCTCACATTTTAGGCATTATGGTTAGCAATACAGATGCTGAATGTGATCATGTATATCACGTTACCTACTTTAAACACTCAGTTTTTGTCCAGAGTGATAATTTCCAACTAATGTTGTCATAATGAATCCTCCTCTATCTTTACCACCCTCTATCCTCCACACCCTTGTGGTAATTTCCAACCATTGACCAGTGATACCACTTCTGGGAATATACCCTGGGAGTCCAAAAATACACAACAGAAATGCCATCTGCACTTTTATGTTCATTACAACACTATTCACAATAATGAGACTCTGGAAATAACCTGAGTGCCCGAGAACAGACGATTAAATAAAGAAACTATGGTTTAGTGAAACTATAAATAAAGAAACAATAGACTACTATAGAGCTGTTAAGAAACATTGAGATCATAAAATTTGCTTTTAAATGGATGAACTTGGAGAGCATCATGCTGACTGAAATGAGTCGGAAGGAGACGGAGAGACATAGGATGACTGCACTCATTTTTGGGATATTAAAGAAAAGTCTGAAACTAATATCCAAGACCAGGGAAAACAGACCAGGAAGACTGGTTATGTTTAGAATTAGACTGTCTTACTTTAAATATTAATTCAAGTAAAAATTATAAAATTACATTGTTCATAAATTTGGAACAAATATCAGAATTAAAATATCAGAATTAAAAAATAAAATAAAAAGTTATGCATAAAATAAATTTTGGTATTTTTTACATCTCATCTTTTGTACAAGTTAAATTTAAAGACTAAATACTAACCTAAAAGAATTATACCATACTGATAAAATGGAAGAGAAAAGGAATATGAAAGGATGAGAAGACAGAAAAAGAGCAACCAATTCTCATCCTTTAAACTAAATCAGAGAACTTAACTAAAACTGGAAAACAATGCAGGAATGACAAGAGCATGTTGCTTTAAAACTGGAAGAAGATAAACATAAGGAAAACTCAAAAGGGTGTTGAAAGTATTGCTTCTGGAACAAGGAAAAGGGAGGAGGCGTGTTGTTCTATAAAAGCTTCTGCAACACAATTTGTTTTTAATAGTACATGTGTGTGTTACTTTGCATTGTGAAAACCTTAACTGAAATAGTTACCACTTCTTTATCACGCAGGAAAAAAGTTTAGTGGCTGAACTGGATAAGCAACATTCATAATACCTTGACAATCTAGGCACTACTCTAACCTGTAACCTCCAGTCACAAAGTTTCTATTACAAGATAGGTTCATTGGTATAAAGAGAATTGTCTAGGGAGAGGAAAGTTGATAAGGAGTAACTCATAAAATGCCACTGGGAAATATACTCAAAAGAAAGGCTTGTTAGGGCTGGAGTGATAGTACAGTGGGGAAGGTGTTTGCCTTGCAGGAGGCTGACCTGGGTTCAGTCCTTCCAATCCCATCTGGTTCCCCTAAGCACTGCCAGGAGTAATTTCTGAATGTAGAGCCAGAAGTAACCCCTGAGTATCGCTGGGTTTGATAACCCCCTATTCCCCCCCAAAAAAAAGAAAGAAAAGAAAGTCTTGCTGAGTTTACATTTCAGAGATTTGTGAAAGAAAAGGTATTGCAGGAATTTAAACAGCAGGGAGTGAAATGAGGAAGACTACACATGGTTGGTTGGTTGGTCTATTCTGAAAAGAAAAAGGAGGAAGAGAGTGTGTGTGTGTGTGTGTGTGTGTGTGTGTGTGTGTGTGTGTGTGTGTGTGTGTGTAGGGGTGCAGTCCCATTATCT